ACAGCAGAGTCTCGTATTGTACCGCCCATCAGACCACACAAATGCAAGTAACTGTTCCCACCAATCTTCTACGGATGCTAGAGCACGTCAGATCTGCCACGTGTCACACTCCAATCAAGCCTAAGTGGCAGATCGTAAAGAGGAAATGCCACGTCAGCATCAATGGTTAATGAGACCGTCAAGAGTGGAGATGTGTAGCGTCCACGTGACCAGCAAATGTTCTGCCCAATCTGTATGTGATCATTGGATCTTCTTCGTTCACCCGCGTCAACCTGATGTGCTGCTGCTGCTTCGGAGGTGCCAGGTCAACAGGTCAGTTGCAACACTTCGGTAAGTGCCACGTCAGCAGGTAAGTCGCGACACTACGGTAAGTGCCACGTCTGACAATGTGACCTGCTGCTTCCTCGTCAGGTGCCACGTCAACACCTACGCGCCATGCCACGTCAGCAAGCGCACATCGATCGCACGACGCCACGTCATCAGCTCTCTCTCTCTCTCTCTCTCTCTCTCTCTCTCTCTCTCTCTCTCTCTCTCTCTCTCTCTCTCTCTCTGTTTCTCTCTCTCTCGCCGGTTGCCCAGCGCCACATCCGCAAACTCTCGCCAGATGTTGTTGAGTCCACATCATCATCGTTATCATCATCACCATCAGATACTTGCGCGCGCGCGCGAAAGAGACTCCAACACAGGAACAGGAGTGGTTTCTTGCAGAGTGGATTGGGGAGGCGTGCTTTCAATCCCCTGAGCAACAGTCATGTGATCTAAAGTTTACCATAAACTCCACCCAGTTGCAATGTAGATCGGCAGATAGGCAAGCAGCTAAGGCAGATTAGTCAATTAGTAAGTTCTACTTTCCTATTCGCTGGACTTAGAGGTACTTAGAGGAGTGCCCAGCAGCTGTCTACCATCACAACTATATGTATCAGACAACAAGCGGCCACAATGTTCAGGGACACTGGACCCGCTTTCCAGCAGGTGTTGCTCCCCACCAATAGATGGAGCCCGCCCGGGACTGCTAGAGGTGTCTGCCCTTACCAGCACCCCTAGCACCCACTCGGGCGATTCTTCTCAAAAAAAAA